GGGGAGGACGGAGGGAAGTAAGGAAGAAAGAAAGACGCACATAGCCTGCAACACATCCTCACACAACGCCCTCACATCGACCGAATTATCATCCCACGCCTTCTGCACGAGCCCAACCGTGTTCCTCTACCACCCCCAAAACAGAAATTCGTCAAAACCCGCAACACCACGAGAGATTCGAGAAAAAACGACATACAACAACAACCCTCGCAACACGGCCCGCTGGCTCGTTCAAAATCAAATTCTACAACATCGTCCGTCAAAACCCCCCTCAGCGCAACGCAACGCAACGCAACACTCACGAAATGGTCCTTGCTCAAAAACGAATGCGTCGGATCCGACTGCGCTTGCCATCAGCAAGCAAGCAAGTTGAAGGAAAACACCAAACGCGACGCACGGCTCTGGGATCATTAAACACCTCGTACTGATCGTGGCTATTGATGACCTCCCCCGAAATATCGGACAGCGCCGACGTAGAGGTCTTCAGTATCGGCTTCAGGAACGGCTGCAGGCGGCGCGGCGTGCGCGCGGGGGGCGAACAAAGATAGATAGATAGACCCATAGATAGATGGATGAATGGATAGATGGATGGATGGTGAGAGACACTCCCATCTATCAGACGAACCACAAACGCACCTCGAGCGTCGTAAACACAAAAACTACCCCCCCACACACACGATCAGCATATGATTTATCTCGTCTCACAGAAAAGCGAAACCGGGAGAACGGACGCACCAGAAATCGACTCCGTGATCCTCTCAATCAACGGCCCAAGCCCGGGTATCTTCTCGATCGTCTTCTCAATCTTCTTCATCACTGTCCACCGCAACCGCAACCGCAACACAAAACACAAAACACCAACACAAAACCAAAACGCAAAAAGCAAATCAGCACCCACCACACACAAACCAAACGAAGCAAGAAGACACGCACCCGAATCACGAAACGTCAACACCTGCCACAACACCGAGTGCAGCTCCTGCGGGGACATCTCCTCCGGCAACTTTCCCCCCAACCCTTGCCCTTGCCCCTGCCCCTGCCCTTGCGTACCCCACTGTCCCTGCCCTTGCGCACCCCACTGTCCTTGCCCCTGCCCTTGCGCACCCCACTGCTGCCCCGGCGCACGCGCCCCCGCCCCCGCCCCCGCCCCGGCAGCACGAATCCGCTCCACGGCCTCCATCTCCCTCGACAGCTCCCCCCCACCCCCACCCGGAATACTAAAAAACAAATCCCTAAGCACCGCCGCAGGGTCCCCCCCTCCACCCCCGCCCCCGGCGCGAGAGGCGGAGGAGGCAGAGGCAGAGCGCGCGCGCGCGGTGTCGAGGGATTTGTTGAGGTCTGTGACGGATGCTTGGGAGAGGTGGTCGCCTGCTTCGCCTAGGAGTGAGTGGAAGAAGTCGCTTGATCCGAATGTGCCTGACAACGCCGTCAGTTTCGAACGAGGAGCGAGGAGCGAGCGAGGAACTCAAGAGGGGGGGGACACACCAGTGACGATGGGCGCGACCCACTGCCCGTTGGGCGCCTGCACGCGCACCTGCTCGCCGACGTGTAGGAACACATCGTGGTGCCCCATCGTGCCGAGCGTGATCTCGCACCAGTTCGAGTGCGCTGTGAAGTCTTCGAGGGTGTGCAGCTGCGTGTGGGTCAGCGGTCTCAAGGAGATAGCTTGCGAATGCGAAAGCGAAGAGAAGGAGAAGGAGAAAGAGAGGAGAAGAAGGAGAGAGCGACTCACGAGTGTGCCGAGGAGACGATACGCCTCGTACTCGTCCTGCTTGCGGCCCTGGGCGCGGTGCTGGCGGCCGAGGTGTACACAGCGCTCAAGGAGACGGCGCACGAGCGCCTTGGACGTGTCCCACCCGCCCTGCTCTATCAACGCCAACGCAAGTCAGCACGGTGCTTCCGCAGTCGACGCGAGACGCACGCACCGTTAGCGATGTAATTCTTCATACCCGTGCGCGGGTCAATCTCCAGCTCGCGGGGCTACATCGCATCGGGGTCAAGTCAAGTCAGCGTCAGGAAGCGGGGAGGGCGTGTAGGAGAGACTGACGTCGACGGGGGGCCGGAGTGCAGGGTGGTATTTACGCGCGTCTTCGCCGTCGCCGTAGCCCTTGGGATTATCGATGTGCTCGACGGGGAGGTACACCCCGATGCGCTCGGGCGTGACCTCGAACTCGTGCGTCGCGTACCCGTGCGCCATGAAGCCGAGTACCATGAGGAGGTTCATGATCGTCTGGAGGTGGGGTGAGGTGTGGCGTTAGAGGGATCGCGATCGGGGATCGCGATTGCGGAGATAAGAACGCACCTGGAGCGGCATCTTCTTGAGCGCGGCAATGTCAATAGCCTGTCAATCAAGCGTGAATGAATGAGCGCTGAACACGTGATGGCGATGGACGCGCCTGGCTGTAGTCGCGCAACCAGTTGCTGTGAGAGGTGAGATGACGACGACGACGACGGCGATGGTGCGAGGTGCGCACCCAAAGTATACGCGTTTGATGTCGAGGCCGTTGAACTTGCGGCGGACCGCGATGAGTGCGGCGATGCCCGCGCCGCCCTTTGCTAGCTCTGCGAGTGTGTCTTCCTGCTCTGCGTGAGCGCGATGCGATGCGCGGTGTGGCGATGGGACTCACGATATCGCCGTGGCGGAACGCGCGGCCCTCCATGTACGCGAATCTGGGGATCGATGAGCGGGCTGGGGCGGGCAGCGACGAGGGACTCACGAGGGGATGTTCCCTGCGCCAAAGCCATGGACGAGTGTGGGCGCAAAGAGGAGGAGGAGGAGGAGGAGCATCTGGTGTGAGTGTGAGAACAAAGATGCAGCGTTCGGCAAATTGCGGGAATATTTTTTTTTCTTGCTTTGCTTCCTTGTGGACCGTGCAGCATGACGAATCCCACCGCCCCCCCGCCCGTCGTTCCTTCTGAAGTAGGCTGGCAGTTTGTGCCGCAGTACTACACGTTTGTGAACAAGCAGCCGGACCGGCTGCATTGTTTCTACACCAAGTCGTCGACGTTTGTGCACGGCGTCGAGGGCGAGGACAGCCAGCCATGCTTTGGGCAAAAGGAAATCAACGAAAAGATCAAGTCGATTGGGTTCCAGGACTGCAAAGTCTTCATCCACTCTGTCGACGCGCAGTGCTCTGCCAACGGCGGCATCATCATCCAGGTCATTGGCGAGATGTCCAACCACGGCGACCCCTGGCGCAAATTCGCACAGACTTTCTTCCTCGCCGAGCAGCCAAACGGGTACTTTGTCCTCAACGACATCTTCCGCTTCCTCAAGGAAGAGACTGTCGACAGCGACGACGACCCTGACGCTCCAGAGCCCGCACCGCCCACAGAGCTTGCCGCCCCTGCCGAGCCCGCCGCCGCCTCACCCGCCCCCATCCCCGCCGCCGCCGTCCCTGCCGAGCCCTCCCAACCGCCCTCGCCGCCCCCTGCCGCGCCCTCTCCCCCGCCGGCCGTCGCCGAAGAGCCGCCCACGACCGACGTCCCCGAGCCCGCACCCGCTCCACAGACGCCCACACCGGTCACAGCCCAGCCCAATGGCATCCACACCCCCGAGCCCGAGTCCGCTGCCCCGCCTGCGCCTGCACCAGCACCAGCACCCGCGCCCGTCATCGCGCCCGCGCCCGCCCCAGCAGCTGCACCGGAACCCGCGCCGACCACCGCGCCCGCGCCTGCACCAGCTGCTCCCGTCGCTGCACCCGCGCCCGCGCCTGTCTCAAAGCCTGCGACACCCACGCCGGCGCCGGCCCCCGCCGCGCCAAAAACCTGGGCCTCCCTCGCCGCGTCCAACTCTAACAAGTGGGGCGCCAAGGTCGCACAGGAGTCACGTGGTGTCACTGAGAGCCCTGCTGCGCCGCCTGCACCTGCCCCTGCCCCCGCTCAGCCGCCTGCGCCCCGCCAGCCCGCGCAGCAGCACCAGCAGCACCATCAGCAGCACCATCAGCACCAGCATCAACACCAGCACCAACACCACCATCAGCAGCCCACATACGGCCCCGTCGCCGCCGCGAGCATCACCACCGCTCACTGCTTCGTCAAGGTCCGTCCTTTCATTCCTACTAACCACACCCCCACTAACCCCAACCCCACAGGGCGTAATCGACCCCCTCACCCCCGCCCTCCTCAACACAACCCTCACACAACGTTTCGGCCCCATCAAAGACCTCGAAGTCGTCCGCTCCAAAGCCTGCGCCTTCCTCGAATTCCAATCCATCGACTCCGCCCGCCGCGCAATCTCCGCGTCCCCAATCTACGTCGACGCAGGCGCCGACTCGGGCCAGCTGCGTATCTCCGTAGAGACGAAGAAGGAGCGCGCGGATCGGCCCCCGAGCCGTCCCCGTGGCGGCGCGCCCGGTGCCGGCGCCAGTGCTGGGCCTGGCACTGGACCTGGACCTGGTGCTGGACCTGGTCCCAGCGGTGCGGGTGCGGGTCCAGGTGTGAACGGCGGCGACGCACCGCGCGGCGGGTTCCAGCGCCGCGGTGCACCCCGCGGCCGTGGCGCGCCTCCGCAAAAGTAGAGCACTACGACGAACAGCCGAACAAAAGTAGACGAGCCGGGGTGCCGGGGTAGGGCGGGGTGGGAGATGGGGTGCACGTGGGTGTAGGGAGCCGGGGGGATCTAGTGGGGTTGCTGCTGGGTTGTCTTTCTTGCCTGCGGGACGTCGGTGTCGGTGTCGGTCCTGCTCTTCTCTTCTCCGTGTCGTTGTTTTTGTCGTCGTCGTCGTCGTCGTTGTTATTTTCTTCTGTTTTCTTTACTGCTCGTTTACCCTCGTTGCGTTGCGATTCGCGGCGTCCCGCCCCTCGTTCATGTACCTGATCTGATGTGATGTGATGACCTTTATGCCATGCCCGCTCGTTTTGTTTCACGCGTTTCCGTTGTCACCTGAACTCAGTCTACTCGGTCGTTCTCTCGTGAGTTCGGTACGAATGAAAACTCAGTCCTAGCAAACGATGAGGCCCATCCCATCCCTAGTCTCCCTTTTCTAGGAATCTCCAACTCCCTCTTAGCTCAGTGGTAGAGCGCGTCACTAGTATGTATCACAAACATGATGTGCCATATGACGAGGTCAGTCGTTCAAGTCGGCTAGAGGGAATGGTTGAAACTTCTTTCACTTTTACCGTTCGACGTAAACAACGTCCTTCATACCGTCCTCCTTGACTACGCACACGCACTGAACCACCGAAGCTCACGTCGAAACCAAAGTGAATTGAACTGTTAAAACGTAGTATAAATATGAATCCCGCCCTTGCGGGGCAGTGCACACAAACCAAGACTCTCTTCTCGCGAGGGGTTTTTGTCGATCCACGGATACATCCATGAGTGCACGACAACGCGTCGCGAAGAGCGGGTCCACCAGCCGTCTGCAACAACACGCGACACAGGCCTCATCCCATTTCCCAAACAAAAACAAAAACAAAAACAGAAACAGAAAAGCAAAGAAAAAAGAAAAAAGAAAAAAGAATCAACCAACGAACGGAGGGAGTGGGATGAGAGGAAGAAAAAGTACAGCCTGAAACCAAAAAGGAGGGAGGCGAGGCATTCCCTCTAGCCGACTTGAACGACTGACCTCGTCATAGAATCAGCAACATTTGAAAGAGTCGTGTAAAACTCGGAGATGGTCGAGCGAGATTGGTTGACGAGGGGGCCGTTTAAAAGGTGTTCCTCTCTGATAGGCTGATCTTTGTAAATATTTGATCCACTCATGATGACCGTGCCATTCTGCATCGTTGAAAATATGCCACAGGCGAAGACCGTTCA